TTTAATATTGCTTTCAGCAAAATATGAGAGCCCCAGTTCCTCCACATTCTCACCATGCTTGGCATGGGTCAATTATTGTTTTCTTTTTCTTTCTGTATTTTAGGGAAGGAGCTACAGAGTGTCTGGGTCTCACTACTAGATCGGACTTTTAGTGATCCACCTACTTACAGCCTCCCAAGAGCTGGGATTACAGGCGTGAGCCACCAGGCCCAGCCTCAATTGCTATCTCAGCGTGTCCAAAGGGGAAGCCAGAACACCAGACCCAGGGATCGAACCCCAGGCCCCTGCTCCTGCTTGCAGGCATTTTAATCTGCTGAGCTGTTTGGCTGGCCCCATATTTGTATTAAAGAGAAGAAAAATAGGAATAAAACAGTTTCAAATCAGGCTACTAGCACAGTAAAAGCAATACATCCTATATGGCTTCATAGAGGTCACTCAGAGCATAAGATACAGGCCTGAAGCGATGTCCAGACAATAGTAGAACAAGTCTTTCTTTTCAATGAACTAAGAGAAACTAGCTATATAAGCGTGTGTGTGTGTGTGTGTGTGTGTGTGTGTGTGTGTGTGTTTTCTCCCCGTTTTCTCTTTCTTCCTTAGAGATGACCCAGAGAAAACCCTTTTGGAGTGCAGCCGGTGGGTGTAAGAGTACAAAACTCTCAGGAAGGGAACTTTGGAGACTGCGGTCATCTGTGAGAACTAGCAGGTGGGATGGAAATTTTAAAAAGGAAAAGTGATAGCTGGGCTCCAGTACACTAGAGAGATCCAAGGGTTTTTCTAGAAAAGTTAATTCCTAGAGGAGCGGCATCAGGCTCAGTGGGCAGAGCACCCAGCACTGCGAGGTCTGATGGCCGCTGGGGGCAACACTCAGCACGCGAGCCCCTATCACGGGTACTACCTGCTGTGCACATGCTACACAGATGCGTTCTGCATGTCCTGACACTCAGATACAGAATGGAAGCACAGGTACAAAAGGGCAAGTCCTACATACCAGCTGGTATCAGGCATGACTTGCAGGATCAAATTCTCTTCCACATTTTTTGTTGTTGCTGTCTAATCTCTGCTAAAGCCTCTAAATTTTCCCAATGATAATGTAAAGCATAAAATTCATAGTAAGAATGGAGTCATTAAGTTCAGTGCGGGTTACGATGGAGTTCAGAGCTTAGTTTTAAAAAATTCATTCAGTGAGCATATGATTTTTATGATTCATTCTTTATAATATACATTTTTATGAGTGAAAAACAATTATATTTCTGTGGATGATGGAAAAATTACTGTTCAGTCTCTTTTTCAGGCTGTTTCTGGGGGCTTGCCAGTTAGCTCAGTTATTTAAAGCGCTGCTTGAGCAAATACAGTCAGGCACAGGGACTGTGGTTTGGTCCCCAGCTGTGCAAGCCATACCCGACCTGCCCTTAAGGCAGCCTGGACTAGCCCAAAAAAAAAAATTCCTTCTTCAGTCTGATTCTAAGGCTTTTCTAAGAACATAAGTGTCCTGGCTTACCAAGCCCTGGGCTGGCCTGAATTATTCTGGGAAGTGGACTCTTACTGACGGAACTCTTTGCTCTTGGGCTGCTACCTGATGTGCAGTTCACTGGGAAAACAGAAACTCAAAAGGGAAAGCAAAACATACACAAGCTAGTTGTAAGTGCGAAGGTTATGGGGAGAAAGAAAAGCGTTACAGGATATATTGGCCAGGGCAGAGAAACATTTCTTACTAAGTAGTGGCAAATATTGGTGGAAGCACTTCTGGCCCTCTGTAAAGATTCTCATGTTTTACTGTTTCTGTTTGTTTTGCAGTATTTTGCTATCATGTCCTTTTACTCTTTATTATGAGCAAGATCAACAGAATTCATGATTATACCCTCTCTGGACATCTGGAGACTGAGGACTCTGCACTTGCAATACATCTGTAAATATAAAACCACACAAACAGAGCTGGGTATCTCTCCTGAGTTGGCACCCCGACATCACCCATGCTGCCCAGTTTGCAGCTGAGCCTAGTGGATTGAAGGACTTCAAATCTCTGGGTTCATTTTCTTCATAGATGGGATCCACAGAACAAAACCCTTCCCAGAGAAATCAAACTGCCTTGGTGGAATTCATCTTACTTGGTTTCTCTGATATTCCCAATCTGCAAGGATTTCTTTTTGGGCTCTTTCTAGTAATATATGTGATTATTCTGATAGGAAATAGCCTCATTCTCATCATCACCAAGACTGACCCTTCCCTGCAGACACCCATGTACTTTTTCCTTGGGAATTTTTCCTTTTTGGAAATATGCTATGTGTCAGTCACTATCCCCAGACTACTAGCAGACCTCTGTCGACACACTAGAAGCATTTCTTTTCTGGCCTGTGCTATGCAGATGTACGTCTTTCTGGTCCTAGGGCTCACTGAGTGCTTTATTCTCACTGCCATGGCTTATGACCGGTATGTCGCTATCTGCAGACCACTGCTGTACCCTCTCGTCATGAGCAACAAGGTGTGCATCCAGCTGGCAGGTGGCTGCTGGGTAAGTGGGATCCCAGTTCACATCGGGTTCACCTACTGCATCTTCTCTCTCCCTTTCTGTGGACGCAACCAGCTGCACCACTTTTTCTGTGACATACCTGCAGTCCTCACTCTCGTGTGTGGAGATACTTTTTTTATTGAGATGCTGATTCACGTCATTGCGCTTCTGGTTGTCACGATTCCCTTCCTGTTGATCCTTGGATCTTATGTGAAAATCATCTCAACCATTCTGAAGCTGCCGACCACCACTGGGCATGCCAAGGCCTTCTCCACCTGCTCTTCCCATCTGATGGTTGTTGCTTTGTTCTTTGGATCAGGCATAATTACATATTTGAGACCAAAATCTATTCAATCTACAGAAACAGACAAATTCATTTCTCTTTTCTATACCATTGTTACACCGATGTTTAATCCCATGATATATTGTTTGAGAAACAAAGATGTTATGGTGGCATTGAAAAAATTCCTTCTAAAATGTTTTTTTTGTGACTCCAAACTCATGACTTTGTAAAATTATATTTTTATTTGCTACAGTCTCTATAAATTCCTTTTAATTCTTCTGCAGTGTTCTTAGCACTCTGAGTTCTTATGAATGGCTGTAGTCATGTTTTTAATCTCACATTAATTCAATATATTTGTTTTCAACCCATTTATTTCCAAATATCATTACTATCTTAGGTGTAAAAGCAGCTTCTATGAAAGTGAAGCAAAACTAGCAAGGCCAACCTGAATTATTTGAAATAGCACATGCTTGTGAGGTTTTAGTATTTTCCATATTTCTGAAAAAACTCTATTTGTTTTGCAAAAAAGTTACTCATCTTTTTATCTCCTTCTGCAATATATCTCACAGAAAATAATGTTATTTGAGTCTGTTAAATTGAGCAGAGTGAATTGCTAGTACTTCATGGGCTTCTAATCAATGACTGCTGTACTGAGGGGCATATAAATGAAGAGGCTCAAGACTAAGCTTCATAAACAGTGTTGAGGTCAAGAGTGACATCACAATATTTTCTGTGGTTATTCATCAACGTTTTCATTGATGTGTAAATCCTGGCTAGTAGAACGTTTTTGTGGTACTGGGTGGACAATGACATACTTCCATCATCAAAGAAGACAGTTATTTTTATGCATACGTAATATTTATGCAACTTTTGGGCTTATGATGGCACTTTGATACGTATTTGGCTATAATGTGTAATAGCCAAATCAAGGAGGTAACCATTTTGATATTTTTAATCATTAATTTTTGTTTATATGTTGGAGATCTTGAACTCTTTAGCCATTGTGTAATAGATCTTGAATTTGATCATATTTTAAACACACGGCAGTGAGGAAATCAGATAAATTCTCTCTGTCTAGTGTACTCGAGTCAATAATGGGGCCTATCTAGGAAGTTAAAAACCTTGATTTTTAAGAAATTTAATCACTGAGTACATAAGGGTGTGAGGGTGCATTTCAGGGATTGTCAATGTCATGTCTGTCATAAAGTTTGAGCTCCAAATGTTCAGATTACTGTGGCATATG